AAAAAAAACACAAAAACCTATTGATGCTGGCTGTGAAAGCCTTTGACTTCAGATTTTGGGGTTTTGTTTTTTGCCAGCAGATATACTGATAAAGTGAAACCCTTAATCTGTATTGTATTGAATTCAGCAGGTTTCATGTCCAGATAAGTAAGCACACAACAACCAAATGTACCTTCCTGGCATCTCATCTAAACAAGACAGTTAACTGAGCCTTTATCACTAATAGAAGGGCAAAGGCTGTCCAACCAGCCAATCAATAGGGAATTCAGAACTGCAGAATCTAACATGATTATACAAGCTGCTAAATACCCCAAAGAGGCATTTCAGAGTTTGGGGATTTGTTTTTATTGTGGAAGCTGCCCCGATTGCTATGCAGAGGGGTGGGGTATAAATAAATTTTGTTTATTATTATTATTATTTATTATTATTATTACCTTGCCAGGAGGGCTTTGACCCTGTGTTAGATCAGATGCAGTCACTAAAATTTTCAGATCATGACTTCAGCTGGGGGGAAAACCTATAAAATAGACACTTAGCTTTACAAGATTATATGAGATTGGAAACACACCCTTTAATTTCCAAATCAAATTATTTACACATTTTACGATTTGCTTATAAAACAACTCTTAAGATTCCACTGTCAATACACACTGATCCTGTGCATATATATCTATATAAATATAATATAAACATTTATCTATATATCGCTGAACCCATCCTGTGCATATACATAGATAGATACACACAGAGAGACATTGCCGAATTAATTGTATAATGTTTCAAAAAAAATTGCAAACAAGCTGTAAAGTGAAAACAATAAAGAACAAACAAACAAAATCCAGGAGACACCAGTTATGTCAGGAATATGATGGGATTTTATCTGTCCCATTACCAATCATTAGTAACACCACAAAACAATTACAGCATTGAAAATAATCACTACTCATCCATCTCCCTAAATTAAAAACAAAGAAACCCAAAACAGTCTTGTTAATATGAAGAGGTTACTGTATTTGTTCAGGGCTACTTTCAGTTTCTAACTCTGCAGTCCTAAACACACATACTGTCAGGCAGGCCCCTTCACTGAAAAAAGTGCGAAGTACTTCCACATACACAAGTGTAGGATCTTACTTCATGATTGTGTTTACAGTGACATGAGATTTAAGGCTGCAATAATTCCCAGTAAACTTTGAAGTTTCCTAGACTTCCAAGGAAGCCTCCATTTGATATAAAGGAATTGGGTTTGCTTGATAAACTGTTTTTTCAGCAAAAAAAAGTTAAATAGTACCTATCTGTTACTCACATACCCCCTTCCCCCCAAAACACAGTGCAAGCTCATCAGTATTTAGACATAGATATATCTAAGTAAAAGTACAACAAGCTGTTAAAGAACACATCACTGCATCAGAGGGAATATGTTAATTGTGGGATACATGCTCATATGTAAAATGCATAAATACTTTCATATATTTTATTGTATATGAAATATCCAGTACAATTGTAGAATAAAACAATGCTGTAACATGTCCAACTCTATTTAACAATTGACAACTGTAATGAGTGCAGTTTAAAAAGCTGTTTAATCATCTACATATAAACCAGTTAAAGCTGCTAGATGAACAATGTGAAATTAACTTAAGCAATACCAAAATTTCAATGCAAAGTGTCATTTTGAGTTACTGAAGGAAGTGTTAAGTAAATTAGCATCTAACCACTTCCGTTTAAAAGAAGAGGAAGAAGAAAATGGCACCTTTAATATTCTCATTTCCATTCCTTGACACCACAACTGCAATAACCTAAAATATAGGCAAGTGTCCCCTTATGACTTCTCAGCCACAATAATAAACACTGCTCCCGGCCCAGTGAAACTTTAATTAGTTAATATACCAATCAAAGCTTGCTGTTAAAATTATTATATAAACAAAAATGACAATCATGCAGGACATCCAATATGCAACATTGGTTTGGTACGCAAACACCGGTGTGTGCACCCAAGCACACGCACACACATCACATATGTGGGCACAGGCAGTATTTAATAAAAACAACGGAAAAAATGCCCATTCATTTTAGTGCCTACAGGCAGCTGATGTCATGATCTATACCATGTATTAAAGTTCACAAAAATGCACACAATGACTGAAAATCCCAGGATTGCATCAAACAACTATCTCTAAGAAAATTTACTTAAAATGTGATGCTCCTTTTTCATATGACATATCACAAGCAGGGGGGTGACTTGTGCAGCTATTTAAAAGCATAAAGTTCTTACCAGAAAGCCACAATTTACCCCCCACCCCATCCATCCGCAAACTGTGGTTTGCCCCATTTTTCCATCCCTCGCCTTGCAGAGGAGCTAATCTGTCCATCTCCCCAAAAAAATCACATGAAAGAGTTCTGCAAAAAGTGGGTGCCTCTGAGTTCTCCTCTCCTTAACTGGGTTCAATCTTCCCCCCCCTCCCTGCTTTTTAAAAAATCTTGCAGATCTGAAACCCAAACAGGGGCTACAGGTGTGCAAGTAGAAGAAGAAGGCTGTAGGCACACAAATCACTTCTTAAGTGCTTGGAGGGAGGAAAAAAGTGAGGGACAGGAGTGTAGAAGAGTAAGGGCCTTTGCAGACTGCCAGAAATAGTGCAAATTGAGT